TAAAGCTCTTTGCGTTTTCCAGTATGTACATTTTGCCGGTCTTCAGGGGCTAAAAGAGCACCTTCATTGGGGCACCTAATATACGTCAAGCACTTCCCAAACCCCACCAATCTTTCAAATACCTTTATTGTGCTAAATTTGTAAAACCTGCCAAAATAGTTACATCACCAGGCAGTTGGTGAGTGAATGATCTGCACTAATTGTGCCATGTAAATTGGCCAAACAATTCCATTCATAAAGCATAAATATTCAATTCAATAATTATTAATTAAATATAATTAATGATATATCATTGAATTAATTGTATTCCAATAGTTATAATTTATGTAAATACATAATATTTAAATATAATTCAACAAAATAAATATTAAATATCATAATTCATAAATATTCAATTCATTTTGTCTAAGCTAGCCAATATTCCAAAAGGGTGGAAAGGATTGGAGTTCGATGAATCATCTAATTGGAAAGAAAGAAAAGAAAGCAAAAAACATACTTTGAAGAACACTTTTTTTGTAGTTGGAAGACAAAACAGCCCACCAGATACACTTCACTACCTTGTTGTACCCCAAAGATTTCCTAAATCTAAAATACACATTTAATATATTGCAGCTTGACAGTTTTTAGATGTGGTAACTGCATTAATTTTCATATTTTAAGGGTAAAAGGATTTTTTGCAGTTTAAAAATACCTAATGGTATTGATACAATAATGAATGGTTCACAATCCTACTTTATCATAATCTTCTAGGGCAAAAAATAAATCACATGCAAACAGTTCTGGAACCATGGGAAACCCTGAAAGGAGCCGTCCTGAAACAGGACTCCCGGGACACTGATAATGACGATGGGTTAAACTGGAACATAGGCAATGATTAAAAGATAAAAAGTCTACATATTCAATAAGTAATTAAATCATCTGCTGAAGGTGCTTACAAAATCGAGGGTTTAATATCACTTTAATTTAAAGTTGAAAAGTGATTTTGAGATGCAGGAAAGCTATAAAATCAGCAACAACCTAAGGAATAAAAATAAGGAGATAACAGGGTCACACAACAGAAGATGCTGCTTCCTCCTCTTTGCTTGGATTGTGCTGACCACCTGCAATGGTTGATCGGTATTATTAACATTATGCTCAAGAATTAAAAAAAAGGCTTTGGGGCTCTGAATTATTCAGACTCTATTGATTTATAGCTGAAGAAACTTTCATAAATCTCTACTCTGCTCATCTGCATTCTAACAGCCTTAAAAGTCAGATTCCTCCAAAATTAACTATCAAAGAATTCTAAATGTTTCCATCTAAAACCTAAACCTTTCATTCTAAATACAATGGGCATAGAGAAATATTTTAAGCTCAGGCTCATACCTATCAACATTTAAAGCGGTATTAAACCCAAAACCAAATGTAAAACTACCCCCTTAGGAGTCGCTGAGTTTTGGGGTTCCCCTATAGTCCTGCACAACCAGGCAACACACATTTTCTTCAGACCTTGTACACTAGAGACAGTAAACAGTAGAGGGATGTATGGGATGCCCAAGGAAACTGCAACTTGAGGACAACTCCTTAGTAACTATGTACTCACTTAGTCCTCTCCTGTAAACATGAGGTTCGGTGTCTGCCTTCAGGCTTTATGCTAGGCTGGCTCTTTCCCTGTTTCCCAGGCTGTCTTCTCTTAGGGGACAGTGAGGTTGAGAGATCCTCCTTCCAATATCCTGCCTGCAGGTGGACCCCTCCCTGGGCCTCCTCCCAAGTTCAACCTTCAAGTCTTCACTCCATCTTCCACCCTGACTCCCCTGCTGGTCAGGCTGCCTCATACTTAAGGGCTGTACTGGTCCCTTGCCAAGCCTACTGCTTGAGGATTGGCCAATATCTCCTAAGTATGCAGAGAAGCCCCTGCTCACCCCACTCACTGCCTTCTAGAAACGTCTCAAGTTTCTATAGCAGGGGGAAGTATCAAGGCCCACACCTAAAATTGACCTGGCTGACTCATCCCAGGCTAACTCATACCAGGCTGCCACTCAGTCTCTAACTCAAAACCTAGCTAGCTCCCGTTGGCTAATTAAGGAGCGCTACACAGATTAGTTTTCATTGTTTTAGGCTTTCCCCCTTGGTTTTCACCTGGTGATCTGTAACGCACCTCCTGTATTAGTGAGACACCACTCTGGATGAAGGAGCACCTTTGGACAGCAGCATTGTCAGTCTGGTGGGAGAGGAGTGTTAGATGTACTAGCAGATTTATCCACACTAACAAATTGAAGCTGAACTCCAGCTAACATTTTTTTATGCAGTGACAGCAAACCATCTTTTTCTTTTTGGGATAAAGGTTTTACATAATTAAATAAAAACTGATCACTGTAAGCACCTTTCTCAGTGTTTGGCTGGAGAGCTTGCTCTTTTGAAAAACAAAAGACTTGCTGACCAGGTCACCAAATAAAAATTGAAGAAAGCTTAAAAAAGTGAATGCAGACATCACATCTAAAAATTTGTAAACTGCAAAATACAGCATAATAAATGTTTGCTTGTGGGTTTAATAATGCTATAATGGCAAATTTGGCCAACAGTCGCCCAAGTTTGTTTTTTTTTTTTCATATTCACTCCATTACAATGATTTTTCCTCTCTTTCAAATCTTCATGGTACCTGCATTTTAAATTCAGGGCAGTGAATGTTTGGTGCATGCTACATTCACTGTTTAATAAATGGTGTATAACCAGGGGTGGACTGACAACTCATGAGGCCTCCGGGAAATAGGGGATTATGGGGCCCCTGTGTCCTTGCCCAAACTCCAAAAAGCCTATGAAAAAGGTACCAGGGGCATCTCATGGGGCTCCCTACTGACCCGGGCCCTCGGGCAGTGCCCGAGTTTCCAAATGGTCAGTCCGCCCCTGTGTATGACCTATTATTTCACAGTGCTTGGAGAGTGGCTGATTTACTAAAGTAGTTGAGAAATTTCACACAAAGTGAATATTCACTTTTATTATCCAATCACGTGTAAAGCAAATTCCTATTTGCTTATTTCATTTGCAGATGATTGGATAATTGAAGTGAATATTCTCAACTCCTTTAATAATTCCAATTAGGTCACAATTTTATGTTTTTATCCTAGAATTCTGACATAATTGGGTTGATTTACTAAAGGCAAAACGACTATTCACTTTGCCGTGTAATTTATGCTTTGCAAGGGAAGCTTCTCTTTTTTGCAAAGTGAATTTCACTGTATTCACTAAGATACAGTACGTGAAATTCTCTTGCACTGTTAAAATTTCCTTTCAAGGTGAACATTCGCCTTTAATAAATCCACCCCAGTAACTCAGAATTCAGAGATACAGTCTTGGGATTGTTCAAGTTTTATTTCTCATAGTCCTTGTGCTCTTTAGTATGAATGATATTCAACTAGGCAAAGTTTGATTTTGCAAGATTCACCTATCTGCTGCCACAAATTATTCAAAATTACTCTGTTAAATCTCACTTGGCTGAATTAAAATGACTTATCATCAAACCTTTAATAAATAAACCCATTTGGTGCAACTCCACTTTGAGCACTGTTAGGCTCCATGCACACGGGGCGCTTTAATAACGCTGGTAGCGTTAGCTGTGTAAAGTCGTGTTAAAAATGTGAGTTTTTCAGCGGTTTTGCATTAACTTTTAGCTGCATTTTTCTGCATTCGCGTTTTTTACACAAAAAAATGATTACAATTTTTGCTCAAAAAAACTCCCCAAAATGCCAGTTTGCCACATTTTACAGTGTTAGAGTGTTTTTACAGCTAAAAAACTTCTCTAAAAAAACACTAGTTCTGGGGTTTTGTCCAGCCAAAAAACACTGATTAAAGCCTATGTGTGCATGTACACATAGGATAACATGCTGGGGAGCTGGTTGTAGGAAAAAAGGTCAAAAGCCAAAAACAACAGCTGCAAAAACGTCCCGTGTGCATGAGGACTTGCAAGTCCACACCAATACCACATGGCACTCTGACTTTTGTCCTTTCTCTTTATCTTATAGTTTTATTAGCAAAAAAGTATTATGTTTAGTTAGATTACCATCTTAAAGCTGAAATCCAGGATAAGCAAATGCATTCTAAATACTAGAGCCATGTGTATTTTCACTTGAATCTCAGTGTGCTTTGTGTATTTCTTCCAGATCTGTGCAGTAATCCAGTGAGAAACCTTTCCTCTGTACTAAAGACCAGTCACTGCTGCTTTTTTATCTTGTGTAGGGTGACTGGTCTTGTCTCCACCCCCTCCTGTTGTTTTCTACAGGCAGCCTCTAGCTAGGGTTGCCACCTCATCCCTTTAAAACCAAACACATATTAATTACACAGGTTCAGGGGCGGACTGACTATTTGGAAACTCGGGCACTGCCCGAGGGCCTGGGGTCAGTAGGGGGCCCCATGAGATGCCCCTGGTACCTTTTTCATAGGCTTTTTCGAGTTTGGGCAAGGACACAGGGGCCCCATGATCCCCTATTGCCTGGGGGGCCCATAAGTTGTTAGTCCGCCCCTGCACAGGTTCTGAGGCTAATTAAGCTGGTAATTAAACTCATCTAGTGCCTTACCTGTATTAAATTAGCCTCAGAACCTGTGTAATTAATATATGTTCATTTTTAAAGGGATGAGGTGGCAACCCTACCTCTAGCAAGTGGAGCCTGCTGGGTCCCTCCCACAGCTCCACTTTCTGCACAAGCTATGTACAGCGATGATGTCACTGCTACTTTTGCAAAGTAATATCTGGGTTTGCAAAGGAATTTGGTGCCCACAAAGTGCATTTATATCCTTCGTGGCTAATATATGAAAATTAAAATTTTAGCTCCCAAAATTCAGCTTTAGGCCCCTTTCATATGGGATGGACACCACCTGTGATCCGCTTGCTCGGTAGGGGGATATGCCCGCTGGTCCTCACTGAGCAGGCAGACTGGTCCATGTTTGCTCTGCTAATGCAGGTCAGACACAGTCAGAGCCTGCTCTCCTTTCTGGGCAGTCAGATGTAAACAGACCACCTGTGTGTTTACTCCTAACCAGGGGCGGACTGAGCATTTGGAAACTCGGGCACTGCCCGAGGGCCCGGGGTCAGTAGGGGGCCCCATGAGATGCCCCTGGTATCTTTTTCATAGGCTTTTTTGAGTTTTGAGCAAGGACACAGGGGCCCCATGATCCCCTATTTCCCGGGGGCCCCATGATTTGTCAGTCCGCCCCTGCTCCTAACTGCAATGTGATCTGCTCAGATGGAGGGGAACCATTTGTTTGTTTTTAGCAGATCAGATTGTATGTAGGTGGTTGTAAAGGGACACCAGTCTGTTTAGATCCCCCGCTCCACACAGGAGAATGGAGGGTCCAATCGCATCCACCTGCAAAATGGACAGGTGGACCCAACCGGAACATCCGTGTGAAAGGGACCTTGATGGACAAGGCCTCATTTTAATTCACATTCTAGGGATCATTTACACAGAAGCCAAAGATGCTGCCAGCATGTCTGTGTGAGGGCAGCCACCCAGGGAGAACATGCAACTGCATTACTGTGGTTGCGATTCAAACCGATGACCCTAGTGCTCTGAGGCAGCAGTGCTAACCACGTAACCACTGTGCTGTCACATCCAGACTGCATTTCTGTAGTGTGAATCAACCCTAAGTCCCTGGGCAAGCTTGAGAAGGGAGCGTGCTTCTGTAGTCTAGTGGTGTAGCGCATGCTCCGAAACGCGTTGCTTTGCATGCTGGTCTTTCCCACGTCATCATGCTGATGCCGACGTTGCGCTCCAAGGTGCACTACAGATGCCATCTTCAGAGACTTCACATGCCAGCCAGCTTCTTGTGACATCCACAGTCTCCCTTAGCGCGGACGTGGCTATCACAGCAAAGATTCGGCCATTACCCCACTTACCTGAGCTTTCTTACCTTTTTCACCATGTGAGTACTTTTATATTGCTCCCTAATACATGTTGTGATATACTGCATTTAGAGGCGCTTTTTTCTTCCTTTATCCTGAAAGGGACCTTGAGCCTGGGTTCACACTGGTGCAGTGCAGGATTCGTGGCGGTTTCTGTGCAAATCTCGCACCGCATCACAATCACACCCTGTTCATGCAAACCGCTGTGGTTGTGTATGTTAAGTTAACAACACCCCGAAATTGGTTGGGAAAACGCGGTGCAATCTGCAGAATCGGTTCATATGGGTGTGAATTACCATGCGATCCGATTCTAGTGCAGACCAATAAGAGTCCTGCACCTTTTTGGTGTGGATTCGGGGTGATTTGAGCCATACAAAATGTATGGCACAAATTGCACTGCACAGAATTTGCATGTGATTTGCACACGAATGTGGAGCATTTTCTATGTGAATCACATGCGATATGCCGCACTGCATATGTGTGAACCAAATTTTTTGTAAAAGTTTCTGTTTTTCTTTGTGCAATGTAAATTAGGATTTCTCAGCTGGATATCAGCACCTTCTAAGGGTTATCTCACAGTTGTTTCTGTTGCTGGATGACGCTTTATCAGCAGCGGAATCATTGAAACTCAAATTTTATATCACAAAAAAAGGAGTAGATTTCTAAAGCTGGAGCACTCAGAATCTGGTGCAGCTGTGCATAGTAACCAATCCGCTTCTAAATTTAGCTTGTTCAATTAAGCTTTGACAATAAAACCTGGAATGTTATATATATAATTTGTTGCATTAACACCCAACATATATTGAACCCACCAGTGATAACATATATTTATTTATTTCAGCTACTTATAGCACCATCAATTTATGCAGCGCTTTACATATATATTGTACATTCACATCAGTCCCTAACCCTCAAGGGGCATATAGTCTAAGGTCCCTAACTTACATTCATACTAGGGACAATTTAGACAGGATCCAATTAACCTACCAGCATGCCTTTGGAGGAAACCGGAGTAGCCCCACGAAGGCACAGGGAGAACATGCAAACTCCAGGCAGGTGGTGCCGTGGTTGGGATTCAAACCAATGACCCTTGTACTGCCAGGTGGAAGTGCTAACCATTTAGCCACTGTGCTTCCCAATAATAATAATATACCAATAAACATGCAATAAATAACATGTGTAAAAGAATGTTTGATGAAAAAACAGTCCAAATGATCCAAAGTCCAAATGTGTATGCACTGTGAACAAAGAACATTTTAAAAATAGAAATATGTTTCGTGAAAGGTAGTGTTATCCCACCAGAATCCAAGGAGGTACCAAAGTGATCCCACCACCGAGGGTAATTATATGCTTACCAAAAGGTTTTGACTGCGGTGCGACTTGGATTTGGAATTGTCAAATTGCATGACAAATCGCATTGGTGTGAACCAGGGCTCAAAAATTAGTTTTGGACTTTCCTCCTGCTAGCTCGAGGATATGTCCCGTATTCTTGATTTTGACATCATACTGAGAAAGATTCTTGCCTGTATTAATTTGTCTTCCTATTGCAGGCTTTCTAAATGAAAGTGCTATTGAAGTCACAGAAATAAAAACTCAGTTAAGTAAACATTTTCGTGAAAGTAAATATGTTTCGTGAAAGGTAGTGTTATCCCGCCAGAATCCAAGGAGGTACCAAAGTGATCCCACCACCGAGGGTAATTATATGCTTACCAAAAGGTTTTGACCTTCTAACCAAATCATATTAATAAAACCAAGATCTCATTTAAAATACCAGCCGGTATACAAGATGAACAAGGACCCAAGGAAAACATCACCAGAACACGTAGGGCGGAGCTACGTTGCTGACGTCACCGTGCACTACAAACTATGAAGCTTGTTCATCTTGTATACCGGCCAGTATTTTAAAATTGGCCTTGATTTCATTAATATGTAAGTGCAATACTATTCTAATAAAGGAGATTTATTTATTATGATTCACACTATGTGTAGCTTATTCTTTCCTTCGAGCACCTATGGAGGGAAAGAGTTGTAACCACATATTTTATTGCCGAAATCCTTTTCCTGCTTGTTTGGTCCATGATCTTATGTGGAAGGAGGTCTGGTGGAGTTTATGTTACATTTAGGGCCAGTTCAAACTGCAAAAACGCATTCTGGATACATTGCATAGTTACATAGTTAGTCTGGCTGAAAAAAGACAAACGTCCATCCAGTTTAAATTTCCAACTATTAAAATATAAATAAAAAGTTATATTCCAGATACGATTTGCTTATGGGTCACACCACACGCAGCTCCGGTGCAGTTTTGATGCAGTTTGCTATGTTTCAGTACAGTTCTGTGCAGAAAAAATGCAGCATGTTCTACTTTTTTTTCTGCACTGGGAACTGACTGGAATTGACTGCACTGGTGTGAACTAGGGCCATTGGAATACATGGAAAACACTGTGCATGCATTTGTGATGCAGAAATAAAAACACACTGAACAGCACCTAGTGTGAACTAGTCCATGTGCCAATTTTGACTTCTCTGGTTAGAAGGGTCAACACCTTTTGGTAAGAACATAATTACTCTCGGTGGTGGGATCACTTTGGTGCCTCCATGGATTCTAGTGGGATAATACTACTTTCATGGAACTTATTTCTATTTTGGACTTTGGATCATTTGGACAGTTTTTTCATCACAAAAATCTTTTTCACATGTTTATTTATTGCATGTTTATTGGTATAGGTTATCACTGGTGGGTTCAATATATGTTGCATGTTAGCACCATAGATATATATGTGTAACATTTCTAATCCGTGAAGTACATCTCATAGAACTGTTGCTGCTCTTAAAATTTTTATTGTGTTTTCACTGGTTGTCACACTAGTGCATTATTTTTTTCTTTTATATTTAATAAAACCTGGAAGCTGATTGGTTTCTATGCAGAGCAGCAGCACATTTTGAACTCTCCAGTTTTAGTAAATAACCCCCTCTTTGTCTGTCTGAAGTGGTGCCGATCCTCAGTTTTTAGAAGTGATGACATAACATATTGCTGACTCAAGCAGACTGAAGAGAGGGAATGATGCCATAAGGTAATGTTGGCGATTCTGCCTGGTCTTGATGACTCTATCAGAGCATTTCTTTTTATGGACAGATGAGTTTGATCTCCATTAAAAGAAACACCGAAACATAAAAGAGTGATGGCAGAAAAAAAGACCAGTGTGGTCCATTGTGTATTCCCCATTTTTTTATACATACATATACATATTTCTTTTTTGTTTTGTTTGTTTGTTTTCTATGAGTATAGATCTACGTTTTGTCCCAAGCGTGTTTGAATGCACTTAGAGTTGGTTCAAACTGCTGCGACCTGAAAGTCGTGCAAGTTATGGTGTGACTTCCTGGTGATTTGATGGCAACTTGAAGTGACTTGAGTACTACTTTGATGCGACTTGATGTGACTTTTATGCCATGCGACTTTGGCTTTGGCCAATGAGATGACATCTTTCTGTAATGTCAGATCCAAATCACATCAACATAGATGAGGATCCAACTTGGAAGCGACTTCCATTAAATTCTATGGCACAAGTCGAATAGTAGTCACCTTGAAGTAGTACAAGAACCTTTTCAGAATGACTTCAGTAGTGCTACTTAAAACAGCTCTCATTGACTAACATGGGATTTATTGTCATGCGACTTGGGATCTCACAAGTCAGATCCAAAGTTGCAGCAGTGTGAACCGAGCCTTACTGTTGGCTGACTCAATACCTCTGCACGAAGTCTATTCCAAATATCATCTACCCTTTCAGTAAAGTAATATGTTGAGCCCTGGTTCACATTGAATACAGCTTTGAAATTGCGCTACTTCACTTGAAGATGCGCAATTACAAAGCCACTGGTGAATACAATTTGATATGTGGCTTGCCTGGCATCTGTGCGGCTTCATGAAATGCCCAAATATAGTGCAGGGCCCTTTTTTCAAAATTAGTGCTTCACGGCAAAGTCAGAGTTGCACCTATTTGAATGGTTTTATTGTCGGTATTGGGGTGCGACTTGGATTTGGAATTGTCAAATTGCATGACAAATCGCATCGGTGTGAACCAGGGCTCAAAGATTAGTTTTGGACTTTCCTCCTGCTAGTTTGAGGTCATGTCCCGTATTTTTGATTTTGACTTCATACTGAGAAAGATTCTTGCCTGTATTAATTTATCTTCCTATTGCGGGCTTTCTAAATGAAAGCGCTGTTGAAGTCACAGAAATAAAAACTCAGTTAACCTCCCTAGCGGTATGATTATTTCAGATTTCTGGTGCTGAAAGCAGTACATTATTTTGCATGGAAATATGCAGTTTTTTTATTGTAGGCCTGTAATTTTTAGGAATAACTCACTGAAATCTGTCCGAACAAGAGTCTAGTAAACATCCCGGGTATGATA